GTTGGGATTACGAAAGCCTCCAAGGGTGCCACCCATTTTGGTATTTTCTTATAATGTTGTTCTTTTATTTTATTCCATATTTTCATTAATGGACCTCTTATTATATGGTTCGAGAAGTTTTTATGCACATTATCTTTCTCGTACCACACATAGGCGTGCCAGCCCATGTGCAGATCGTGTCCTTCTAACTTAAGTAATCTTTTATTTTCCAGTAGGACCCAGTCCCGGACCCAACCCATTGCAGCCGCTTGGTAGTACATATTCCAATCTGGGAGGCTGAGTCCTCCTTTGGTTTTTTTCTCTTTCAGAGATTTTAGTTTAATTCTGGATTTTTTCCCCTGCCATATGAACTTCCTAGTCATCTTGTTTAGCTCATCGAAAAATTTATTGTTTTTTAGAATGGGAATACATTGAGCTATATATAGTATTTTTGGCAATACGTTCATTTTTATTGTTGATATTCTACCCATAAAGGATATTTGTAGGTCTTGCCATCTTAATAGGTCCTTTTGGGTCTCTTCCAGTATTACCTTATAATTGTTTTCGTATAAGTTGTTGTTGTTATTTGAGATGTTTATACCTAGGTATTTGATTTTCCTGACAATTTCTACATTTGTATTTTCCTGTAGTTCTTTTATTTCTTCCTTGTTACAATTTTTTGTTAAGATTTTTGTCTTATTTATATTTATTTTGAGGCCGGCTACTGCACCATAGTCTCGTATTATTTTGAGCAAGTTTTTTATTGAAGAGTTTGGATCTTCCAGGTCTTCATCCTTAGTGCGACTTATTTCTGAGGGCTATGCTACACATCAGGATGAGGAACGGTATAGTATAGCCCAATCTTGTCAGATCTCAGAAGCTAAGCAGGGTTGGTACATGGATGGGAGATCACCAAGGAAGATTCTATGGAGGAAGGCAATAGCAAATCACCTTTGCTTCTCGCTTGCCTTGAAACCCCTTGCTGGGGTCGCCATTTTGGTTGCAACTTGATGGCACATGCATATATACATATGCAGTACATCTGGTTTACGGGGTCTTTATGAACAAAACAGAATAGCAGTTACCTCACGCATATGATCAGAGATTTATTCCCTGAAATTGGACTTTTCAGATTTCACTTGCAAAACTGAAAAAAATAATAATCAGAATCTCCAAAATATTTCCTTTAAAATTCAGCTATCCTCAATTGCCCAGGCTAGCCCAATCTTGGAAGCTATGCAGGTGTCGTGCCCCGGGGTGGCCCCAGGCCCTGGAGGACCACTAGCCGTGCTTGCAGAGGAGTCAGGAGGGAAGGGAGGAAGAAGCCTGGAGTTCCATCACTATCAGAGCCTTCTGCCCCGGGGTCAACAGCCGATCCAACCTGTCTCTCTGAGTATCCAAGCCGGTTGCCACCGAAATCCTCCCCGACTCTCGTCATCTTCCCTCCTTTTATACTCCTTTCCCCCTTCAGTTATGTCACTGCTCCCTCAGCATGCCAATCACCCCAGCTGCTTTCTCTATGGTGCATTTCCACCCCAGTCCGGCCCCCCTGGGTTTCCCTGGGACTCCCTCTCTGGTCCCGTCCCCCTGGGTTTCCCTGGGACTCCCCTCCTGAGCCGGGATGTATGCAGGCGTGGTCCCTTCAGGGGAAGACCCGGGGTCTGATGCCAGCTGCCGCAGCATCTCTTGCCTTCCTCTCTCTGGTAAGGTCGCGCTTCTCCAGCCTTTGCGCAGCCAAGACCGAGTGCGCGTGCCCCGCCTCTCCCAGTGATGGCGCGGGCCGGTCTCGGGCTGTCTCTCTGTCTTGAGCTGTCTCTCTGTTGGGGGTGGCCGCCATGGGGATCCCAGGCACCCATCTTTGGCTTCCCCAGTGCCGGGGCGGTCTCCGGCATTGTCACGGTCCTTGGCATCCCAGGAACCCATGACGTGGTGTGTGCTCTGTCCTCCGAGGCGCATCATGGGTCCAGTGCGGGTCACGCCGCAGTGGCCTCGGAGGTCGCTGAGGAGTCTGCAGCGGGACAGCAGGGTTTGCCCTAGTTATTACTTGGATGTGTGACCACCAAGGAAGTCTATGGCTGCTATGCAGGCAAGCAATGGCAAACCACCTATGACTGCCTCTTGCCTTGAAAACCCTATGGGGTTGCCATAAATTGTCTGTGACTTGACAGCAAAAAATAGTTTACATTTTTTCAATTATACAGTGAAAGTACATCTTGTGAGTCCACATTCATAGACGATGGCAGTAGTGATTAGAGGAATGTTTTCAGACAATGAGTTGGCACTGTGGACAGAGTTCTAACAAAATAGGATTGGTTAGTCATCACTCGCTACTGTATTTACAAAAGCACCTGCACTGCACTAGAAGCTATATAAGAACCAAGGTCCCTGTCTACTGGACCTCAATCCTAAAAGAGTGGAGTGATTCTCAGAAGCAGAGAGTGCCTCCCCATTAGTAGTATTTGGTAGACCGCTATGGACCTTCTTTCGTACAATGAGATAAGGAAGCATGGGTAGAGCAACAAAAGGAAGACAGGACATGGAAAGAAAAGGCACACAAAAGGAAGAAATATAGAAGAAAGTAAATAGCCAGTGGGAAAAGGACAGAGAAATATGAGCACATTTTCACTATAATGAAAAGTAACTGAAAGTTATCACAAAGTGGTGCTAAGTACCCTGTAAAGAGACTTATGAAAAACCAAGAGACTAATGAAAAACCACACAGGGGGAAATAATATTGCCATTTCTTCTGAACTTTCTTTAAAAACAAATATATTTTAATATTATTTACCTATACATGCACCAGGTCCTAAGAAAGCCAAAGAAATATTTGATGGGAATGTTCATTCATATATTACAAGGTACAACTATTACTTGTCCACATGAAATGATATTCCCGGACCAGATGATTTTTATATCATTATACCTGTCGAGTGCAAGTAGGCTAGAAGGTGGTACGCCTTATAATAATTTGTTATAACTAAAACTATTTGTATTCATTCAGCTAATTTCTCCACAGAGAACATGTAGAATACAATATCCAACTCAAAAGAGCAGATGTAATTGCAATTTTCCAGGCAGCAGCCAAGCCATTATATCTAAGCAGGGGCCAAGGCATTCATATCACAAAAAGAACAGTTGCACTTGGAAGATGCCTGCATTTCCCGAGCCTTGCACTCAGGAAGCTGGAAGGAGTTCCACAACAGAGAAGCAAAGTAATAAAACACCTGCAGCAAATCACCAAGCCCTCAAAAAGCACTACATGGCTGCTGAGAGCTGGGAAACTGCTTGGCCCAGCATTCTATTTATGACGCAAATTCTATCCCCCAAAGGGGGGAAAAAACAAACCTCCTGTTCTACACTGCTTGTGAGTCCCACACTGTGAACTAGCACCTGGATAGTGAAAGACTTGGTGATTTTCTGCAAAAGTTATGCAGTAGTGAAGCCAGGGGACCTCTCCTTTCAGCCTGTGATAATGAGAACTAAGTAAAGGGTTTAGAGCTGGAAGTGTGGGTCATGGTACAGCAGGCTTCAGAAAGCACTGATGTCAGGCATATATACGCAGGGTCCAAGGATCAGCAGTTCCATCATTCAAATCCAGGAGAGCAAGAGGTTGGCAACATTCTCTGTTTGCACATCCCACCTCTCCCAGGTTATGGGAGGCCACTGAGGGTGTTCCACCCAATGGTTTCAAAATCTAGGTTCTAATTGCAGGATGAAATCCTGGGATGCCCACGTGGGAAATTTGTAGCCATTCCGCTTAAGCAGAACAAAAACTAGAGGAATTTTTTTTAAAAAACCGGAAAAATAGAGATGGGATCAAAGGAGAAAATTATCAAAAGCAGAGGGTGGAGCATTCTTAAATCTGGATCTCATTGCTGTTAAAAGAAGCATCTGTGAGAACCATATTTAAGTAAGTAAGTTACAGGCTTGGCTTTCTGTATGCAGGTGCTTTACAAAGGGCAGTATTATTATGAAATGATCACTGGAATGAAGAAGCACCACTTCTCAGGGCTTCAGGATGGGACAAAGGGAGCACATCTGATCAAGCATCAGCCGGATCAGGGAAACAGTCACCCACAGCTTCCGGGGGTGCAGTGTCAACCATGACCTCTCGAAACTCCATTTCTGTCACAGCCTCTGCCTCTGTTTGATGTCCTGGTTCTGTTTCAGGCTCCACCTTGGAATTTGGATCCATTCCAGCCTCTGGTTTGGAACTCCCAGGACCTTAAAGGAAACAAATTGGTGATGGAAATATCAGGCTTGCTGCTCCCCAGCTGAGCACAGGGCCTGCCCCCACTGCCATCAGGTGTTTCCACACCACGGCTCAGCTGGTCAGTGGGGAAAGGGGGAGGCAAATGGGGGGCATCACCAGTGACCTAACCCACTGACATCACTCCCCACGTGCCCAGAAGTGACACATCACCAGGGAATGCTAGGGACACTCTGGCATTTTCTCAAGCACATTTCTTCTTGTGTGGCTGCTTACAGACTGATACAGAGAAACTATCTTTCGTACAACAGGGAGTAACAAAACAGCCCTTATGCTCCAGTAAGATGGGGAATAGGTAGAAACCAGATCAGAGCTGTTTCAGTGGTGGCACAGTGGTTTTTATGGCTTGTTTTATTCTGGATAATTCTTACCTTGTGTTTTCTATTTATTTATTTATTTATTTTTATTTTCTGTATTTATAGCCCGCTCTTCACGCAAGCGGGCTCTGGGTGGGTAACAAGATTCCAGTAATGTTGTTCTTGTATTGTTTTTACTTTGTGAGACACCTTCAGTTTATTTATTTATTTGCTTGATTTATACCCTACCTATCTCCTTCCTGGGGACCCAAAACGGCTTACACTGTTCCCCTCCATTTTATCCTCACAATGACTCTGTGAGGTAGGTTAGGCTGAGAATGTGTGATTGGCCCAAGGTCACCCAGCGACCTTCCATGCCAGACTAGGTACTTGAACCCGAGTCTCCCTGATCCTAGTCTGACACTCTAACCCAGGGGTGTCGAACTCATTTGATATGAGGGCCAGATCTGACATAAATGAGACCTTGTTGGGCCGGGCCATGTGTGTCATAAAATGTAATGCCAGGTAGCGGAGATATAAATTTATAAAGGACACAGACAAACACAGTTAAAGATTTTTAAAACTTTAAATAAAACATGCTTAAAACACTAGCACTCTTGCAATATTTTTTCTATTTAACAGTCTCTGATAACTGACACCTCTTGCTCTGAATTATTGCATCAAAATGTCTGTGCTGTAGCAATCTTGAGTATGCTGTTCAGGTGTGTATCTGTAAGCTGAAAACCTACTTTTGATTTATTGACAGTCATTATAGAAATTTCATGCTCAGTGTTCTGAGCCTAGGACCCAGGAGAAAACATGAAATGGCTGGGCATTGCAAGCTTTTGTACATAAGTTGCTACATGTGCGGTCAAGAACATGAGAAGGCATCCTGACAAAGACTGAGGGCTGTTTGTTTGTCTACAAAACTATAGTCTTCCCCAGCCTTCTACAACTTCCTACAAAGGAAATATGCTGGGTGAACTTGGTCTGGATGCACACTCTCAGCCTAATCCACTGGCTTGTTGTTATTCCTCCTCTAAAATAGTTCACATTGCTTTCTTACTGAGAAAGACTGGATCATGAGGGCATGAACACAGTGAAAAGGGGGAGGGAACCCAGTTGCACCCAGGAGAGCCATGGCATAAGGAGCCCAACAAAACATACATACAACCACCATAAGGAGCCCAACAGAATACACACACACTGTAGCAAGGCACACAAAAGCTCATACCTTGAACAAAACTTTGTTGGCCTTAAAGGTGCCTAGTATTTCTGCTGTGCAATTGAGGCAGCCCAGCAAAGCAAGCTCTCCCTCATTCCCTCCCTCCCTGCCTCCCTTCAGGGAGGAGCCTCCACTAGTGGAAGGAAAGAAAGGCTTCCCTTTGTCTCCTGTATACGATTGAGGCAGCCTGGCCAGGAAGCGAGCTCTGGGAGGAGGAGGAGGAGGAGCCTTAGCCAGTGCTTTACCAGACTCTCTCAACTGAACAGGAGAGTCTTGCCTATCTATCTCTCCTGTGCGACTGAGAGTCTGGTAAAGTAAGCTGTGATGTAGCAGCAGCAGAATTGGAAAAGGAAGCGGGAAACAGCCAGGGCCTTGTGGACCGTATTGCAGCCCTCCAAGGGCCTGATCCAGCTCCCGGGCCACATGTTTGACACCCCTGCTCTAACCACATTGGCTTCATTTTCTGTGTAGGTAGCATATACATTTTCTATATAAAGAATAATGTACAGAATAGCTTTCCATGCCAATTACCCATATTGCATACAAAGACTTTAGGAACCATCAGAGTAACCCTCTACTCAATGCAAACAGCCTGTGTTGTGAGCTGCCACCATACAGCACCTTTTTCAAGCGTCTTTGCATCATTGGATATATCTGAACTGGGCCTACTCAAAGGATACTAAGAAGGGGAGGGCACTTCCATGGCCGCTACCCATTGTCTCTGCTCTTGTTTCCAATAATGCCCAGGGACAGCTGGTTTTAGAAGCATCTGCACAAGTTTTCTGTGGCCCCAGAATGTTGAACCAGAATCAACAGATTGAAATTAAATCAAAAGAGTTTTTGGATAAACATTAGGAAGAACTTCCTGACAGAGCAGTTCCTCAGTGGAACAGACTTCCTCAGGAGGTCATGGGCTCTCCTTTGGAGGTTTTCAAGCAGAGGCTAGATGGCCATCTGACAGCAATGCTGATTCTGTGAACTTAGGCAGATCATGAGAAGGAGGGCAGGAAGGGTTGCATCAGTGCTTAATTCTTGTGGCCCTTTCTTACACGCCCAGGGAAATGCTGATCGCCACTTTGGGGTCAGGAAGCAATTTTTCTCCAGGCCAGTTTAACCAGGGATCCTGGAGGGTTTTTTGGGGTTTTTTCCATCTTCTGGGCATGGAACAGGGGTCACTGAGGGTGGGGGGGGGAGGTATTTGTGAATTTCCTGAATTATGCATGAGGTTGGACTAGATGACCCTGGAGGTACCTTCCAACTCTATGGTTCTAAGCACATCTTGTCCAACTGTCCTTTCCTACATATCTTTGCTAGCAAATAATAGTTTCCCAAACCAATGTACTCACCTGGATTGGTGGTGCTGGCAGCAAGGGCATCTGTAGCGTCACAGTGGTCTCCATTAGGGGAACTCTTTGGTCCTTCACTGGAAATGGCAGACAGGGTGATCCCCTCATCCTTCTCATCTTCTGTAGGAGAGCATATTGAGAGGCTGAAAGGACCCAACCAGTCTGACCTATCAAAGTTTACCATCACCAAATCTCTTAAATCTATACTCCCATTTATCTATAAAATCTACAAGACAGACAACAGAATCCCTATGCAATCGCATAAATAGCCTCTTCAAAAGTGCAGATTCCTGTGGATAGCCGTGTTAGACTGATGCAGCAAAACCAAAAATAGATTACTTGGCACCTTAATTACTACAGTGGCATAATAAACCTGGTAGTCTTTAAGGTGCCATAAAAATCCTTTTTAATGTTTCCCACTTCCAAATGTGTCACACCTTACAAAGCAAAAGGGGAGGGGGCTACTCTGAAAAGTTTACACCCTCAATTCAGATGAGGGAGAAAAGGAAAAGGAAAGGTGAATATATAATAGGATAACAACTAAAGGCAAATGTAAAGCCAACCTGTGATATTAACCCCACTTAGAGCTAGATAAGACTTCTAGGTTCCTCTCTGGACTAAGATCAATGGATCCAGATTTCCTCATCTGTATTCTGCTGAACTTCTGGAGCATCTACTAGAGTGTGGTTTGGGTGCTGAATTCCTTGAATCTGGTGACAAACTTAACAAAACTGTGTGTGTTCCAGTGGTTTCGTTCTACTCAGAGACCTCCTGCAGATATATCATGGTGGCATCGTTATGCTTCCACATGCCTGGATGCCCCTGGTGTTTGTGATGAAGCCTCTTCTGGTGTTAAAGCCTATGGAGCCATATTGATTTTTTAATTTATATTTCATGTGCTTATAGTACTACAATAGGAACCATCCCAATGTGGTGAATCAGTGAAGGGATCCATTCTCTTGGAAGTGTAGAGTTCATGTAAGGAGGAGCATGAAGCTTTAAAGAAAGATCTGAGTAGGCTTGATGAGAAATTTGGGCAACGGATGACACATTATCTGTAGGCGCTCTTCAAGCAAGCAGGAAGCCTAAGGGCCGATTCACATGTTATAAAATCCTTATGTTTATGTGGGTCCATGATTTGGATCAGGACCATGGCATTCAGTTAGAAGAGGAATAAGCCTTCCCCTGTGTGCCATTTTCTTGGGCTGAAATGGCCATGGAGGGTTGCTATTTGTAGTGTTGTGGAAATGTACTGGTAGCAGCATATCTATATTTCCCAAACCAGGACATATGGTTGCTCCCCTGGTCCATTTAGGAAAATGGCATGCAGGAGAAAGCTTAAACCTGCTCTCCTTGCACACCAGGGTTCTGATTTGAATCAGAACTGTGCCCACCTGGAAATAAGGTTCTGAGCATGGAACTCCAGGGTGCATCTGATTGAAAGGATTCATATTGGCCACTGGGAGGACACAAGGACTTAATAATGTGTGAATTAGCCCTGATCAGAGGCAAGTAGGGGGAATGGAGGGACACACAGGGGACTCTACGTCATGGAAGGTGATGAAATCAAACCCTAAGAGCAAAGCGCTTTTGTGGAAATGTAATAAGAATAAAATATCTAAAAAGTAGAAAAGGATGAGGACAAGGATATTTTTTTGCAAGTGATCCGAAGAACCATATTGTGACTGACTGCAAACTCTGGGTTGTCTGGCTACAGTGGATATGCAACTAGGAACACTGGGATGAGCTCAGATTCTTCGGTGAGAATCATCTCAAAAGGAAGGTGATGGATGCACCATGCAAAATGATACTTACCTGCAGGCACCGGAATGAAGTTATGTTTGTTTTTCATGCAGCAGCATGTGATCAGGGACACAATAATGGACAAAAGGACTGCAGCCCCTCCAGACGCTGCCAGAATGACGAGGAACAGAGGGTGCTTCAGAAGATCCCCTGGTTGAAAGAAACAGCCAGTGCTTATGCAGTAAAAACCCAGGAAACCAATGCTTGCTCTCCCGATAGTCAATCTCAAGCCAATGGGAGGAAATGGAACTCATATCGCTTAAAGGGTAAAGGAATGGGCTTTGATCCGCAAGATCCCTTGCGTGATTCAAGTCTCACTTCTGCTCAGAACTCTCTAAGGAGCCATGGGCAAACCTCCCCACCTGCAATATAGAGATAACAGTACTGGCCTACTGTACAAAGCTATTGTAAGGATTACAGTGAGATAACATGCATGAAGAATGTTGGGCATAGAAAGTGATATATTAATGCCAGGTATTGTTATTTTTTTCAAGCAGGTAGATTATTTTGAAAAGTGACTACTGGTTTGCTTATCTAGTAGGCAACAGTTGGAAGCGGATGTCCTTTACTAGATAATGCAAGATTTACACATCCCAGATACTTAAATGCCAGTCTCTAAATGCCTCAGACCTGCCTGTGTAGCTCAGGTGGTTGTTTAGATAGTAGAGGCTTTAAAAGCTTCCCTGTGCTCTTTTCTTCCATATATCTCTTTCTTCCCAAAGGCAGGAATAACCCGCCCACTAGGTGACCCTAGGTGATTGCCTGGGGCACCACTGGTGAAGGTGCGCCCACCAGCCCTTTCCCTACCCTGCCACCTACCAGTCTGCCCTGGGAGGCACTTCCTGTCCAGTGGAGAGCCACACACACAATGCTTAGAAAAAACAAAGCTCAGTCTCTGTTCTAATAATATTTTTAGTGTGCAGACGGGATGTGCATGAAGGGAAGTGGCACGAATAGTGCAGGATGTTTGGTGGCCCCGATGAGTTGCATAGAAACATTTAGACAGATAGGCACATTATAAGCCCCTGTGACACTATTTGCTAAGACTTGCAGCTGTTGCTACAGCTCCTCAGATTGCAGGCTGAAATGAAAGAGCAGAAATAGCTCTCTGTGATGGGGGGGAGGGGGGAGGGCACAGCACAGCTATTGAACTGTAAATATCAAAGCCATGCACGACTGCCTGCAGTTAGCAGTCTGTGAGCAATCCATTGACTGAAATCCATTCAAAACATTCACCAAGTATGAATAGCAAAGAAACTCCTCCGGACTTTTGTTGTTGTTGTTTAGTCTTACTGGTCCAGGGCAAAAACATTAATAAGCAGAAAAGATTGCCTATATTGTGAATGATTTACTCATTTTGCATCTATGAATGAGGCCAGATGGAGGAAATTTAATTGTAAGCTGCTAGTAATTGGTGATTATTTTGGAAAGAATAAACAAGGATTAGGAAAATGTTAGGGGCAGTGTCATTTGGCAAGAATACAGATGGATGCTCTGACTATTGTGGATCTGGGAAAATGTTCAAATTAATGGTATCTGTGTTGAGAGACAAGGTGAATGGGGATTTCAAGGTAGAGGGTATCCTTTAGACAAGGGAAATAAATTTGACACATTCAGGTATGTTTCAAGGCTAGAGGATTTTGATGTCACAAGGAGCAGAACTACATTAGCCTATGGCCCACCTGTATGGGACAATTCAGAGGTCTCTCTTCCCACTGAAGCTGAGTCAATAGCAGAAACAGTCAGGGACCAATGCTCCCTCTAAGCTGCGGAGTCCTGTGAGCAATAATTCCACTTTGTGAGCTACTGGCATTAAAGTTGTGAGCGAGCCATTTGGCTACTGCATAAATTAGTTTGCTCTGTAGCGATCCTTCCTGAGCTGAGACAAAAATGTGTGAGACAGAGGCTAAAAAACTGTGAGCTAACTCAGACTAACTCAGCTTAGAGGGAACACTGTCAGGGACCTGTGCTAGTGTTGGAGCGAAAGACTGGACATTGGGGGGTGCTACAGTACTCCGAGTATAGGTGTTATCTCCTTGAATGGGATGCCTCTCTTTGTCTTACCCTGGGAGCTGCCCTCTGACCCCTCCTCTCTCGCTCACTTTGTCCTCCCACTCTCTCCGCAAGGCCTTCCATGGAGACACATGTCTCTGCAGGCCTCTCCTGCAGATTCAGTGCCCTCATACTCCCACACCCATGATGCCGGACAAGCTGGCCATTCACAGTAGGGAAAGTACTCTTTGGATTAGGCTTCTCTCTCTTCTTTTGACTGCAGCCTGAATGTGAACTGGATCTACTTGAATAAATGTAAGTTTACCTTTTATCTGCAATACACGTCTTGGGAGATTTATCTACTGCACTCAATATCATGCTTCTATGACTGGGCAAAATTCTGCTATATTAACCAAATATCCCAATAGCTACTTTGTGTAGAAAGGAAGAGAATTGCACATACAGGGTGCTATTAATTGAATTAATGTGGCAAGTGGAGGGAGGGTGGATTCATTCTTAATGCACGTAGGGGAATGTGTCCACAGACTGCAGCTTGGGTCCTGTGCAGTGCAAGTGGAGCTGCTCTGCATCTGTGCTGGATTTCCTTTCTCTCCCTCCTGTTGCAATCTTCTGTCCCACCCAAACTGTGCCATTTGGGATCCAAGGCCATACTTCTGCCAACTAGTGGAGGAATGTCCCCTCAGTAATACTCTGTGTACATATATCCTGGCATATCATCTTGGTTATTTTGCAATGTCTGAGAATCCCTGAAATGCTAAATAGTCACAGAGAAAACCCAAAAGAAAATATTTTCAAGAAATCTACAGATAGAGACAAGGAGAGGTAGTATAGCTTACCATCATCACACAACAGCTCAGTGGAGAAGTTAGTAGGAGAGTTTATTCTGTGGCAGGTCAGCTTTCCACTCACTCTTTTTTCCAAAACAATCTTCCTTCCACCATCCTTCACACAAATGTCTGAATCATTCAGATGGCTCCCATTCAGGGTCCAATAAACATCACTAGAGAGATCACCCACTTCACAGGATAGCTCTGCTTTTCCACCAGGAAGGCAATGGATATGGACAGTTGGAGGCAGCTCTAGGCAATGGTATGGTGACAACCAAATAGGAGGAGAAAAGTTAATTTGACAGGACATTGGTCTATGTGAATTTGACCCAGTGGAAACAGTGGCCTCCGACCCAAAGAATGTTATCCTTGCTCAAGTCTTATTGAAGTCAATGAGAATTTGTTTAAGTTAATTGCAACATGTACAATGGATTTCAGTGGGACTGAAATGTGATTGATTTTTCTCTAAATGTGGAAGAATAGGTCCCAGGGTGGCTCAGTGACAGCGCACGTGCTTGGCAAGCAAAAGGTCCCAGGTTCAATCCCCTGGCATCTCCAGTTAAAGGATCAGGCAGGAGGTGGTGTGTAAGGCCTCAGTCTGCGACCCTGGAGAGCTGCTGCTGGTCTGATTAGACAATACTGACTTTGATGGACCAGCAGTCTGATTCAGTATAAGGCAGCTTCATGATACAACTGCTATGCTGGAGCCAAGCTGGTCTGAATCTGAATCTGGCTTTGCCTGGTTGGGGGATTCCCTGGGAACCGTATGTGTATGCTACCTCTGATTTCCAAGGCAGAAGACAAGTGGGCTATAAATGCAAGAAAGAAATATAATAAATAATTTGTGGACTCCATGAGCTCATGACTGCCATTCCTTGATCATTCTGGATCATTTTTAAATGCTCTGCGTATTTGTCACTTTGTCCCAAAGCTTGCAGTGGGAATATTCATGGGGCCAAATTCCATACAGTCTGTGATCACAATTTAAACATGAATTAGAGGGAAGGCACAAAACATTCATATAGTATATTAAATCATAACTGAAATCCCTAACAAAGCTGTACCCACTAGGGCACCAATGCATTTGTGATGTCAACTGTAGTTCTCAATTTTTGCCATTAGGTGACAGGAGGGAGCACAAATATAGACAGCCTTCCTCTGAACACCACTACCAGGAAGCCTTGTTGTCAGCAACTGGCTGACCACTGTGTGAAACAGGATGCTGGACTAGACTAGAGGGGCTATGGGTCTCAACGTTCTTCTGTGTTCCTAAAATTTCTCTTTTTTTGTTAAACACCACGGGGAATGAAACAGTGCTCCATGACCGGCAGTGCAATCACTGGCCTCATCCTGGCTATGGCCCTACTTGAGAGTTGTATTTAAATGAGACTGGCTCCCATACACGGTGTTCCATTCCTTCTAGATCCAGACTCTTTTTTGGTATTTTTTTGAGCTGTCATAAGTGGACCAGCCTAGCCTACCATGCTTTGTTTTACTCAGGCCTTTAAAAAAAAAAAAAGAGGTGCCAGAACTCTCAAGAGGGAAATGACGTTTTCAATCTGTGTACTGATAAACTCATGAACTTTTGAACATTTTAAAAAGAATTTTATCAAAGAGGTTCCGGAGCTCCATTCCTGCGTGTGTGTGTCCCCCCCCCCCCCGGGAAAAAAACCCCGGTTTTTCTCCGGTTTTACTCTCAGATTTAATAAACTGCCATCCTACTATTTATTTATTTATTTATTTATTTATTTATGTATTCCAATTTATACCCCACCCTCGCTGCCAAGGCAGGCTCAGAGCAACTTTGAACAAAACCCTTTCCTTCCCAGAGTCCTTGCAATTCCTATCAAAAAGGAACTTGGTAATAAAAAGAGTGATGGTTCTTCTGTACAGTGTTTCTAGCAACCAACTTTTAAGGGTATTATTTAATTCTTGTTAGCCGCCCTGAGCCCACTTGGAGAGGGGGGTATATAAATCTAATAAAATAAATAAATGCATAAATGCATAAATAAACTTTGTCAGTTCCAAGTGTTATTCCTTTACTTTTGTTGTTTCTGAAACAGGATGCTATATCTATGAGCTCAAACTGCAGTTAATAATGGAGGAATGCTCAGCACAGATTTTTTTTGGGGGGGAGAGCCCCCAATTGCAATCAGATACTTGAGATCTGTGTCACTGTTTCTCTATGCCAGAAACTTGTTGACTTCTGCCTCTCCTGCAAAAAGGTAACAGTGGCTGCGATCAGAGGAGCTTTTTGATCAATTGTCGTTGCTTCTCCCCAATGGATCTAACGTGCGTGTCCAGACAGCCACATCTAGCTACTATTCCCCAGTCATCGGGTCCCTGAGCTCAACCCCGAGTTTCCTGACAACACAGACAGTCCAGTATTTATGGATCCTCCTGGTTTCACAGTGCTTCTGCAGGTGTCTGATCACCCTCTTGAGGGGTGAAGCCTTTTGGGAAGTCAGATTGCTCATTTCCACTTTTGTCGGCATTTTTTAAAGCTTTTAGCGATGAGCACATAAGCAGTTATTCACCCAAGGCTCATTTGACACTGCTTATGCGAGCCCAGGAGTGATCAAGCAAGGACGGGCAGGAGAGCGAAGAGAGGCAAGGCAGACGTGTAGGGCTGGAGCAGGAAGCCGGCAAGAAGGCGGCAGCAGCAGCAGACTTGATGCCGCAGAGGAGCTGCCAGTGGCCATGGTGATCAGCGTGATGTCTGATCACGATTCTCCCGGTACAAAAAACACCTGGACCAAGTTAGAGGTGCTTCCAGACCATGCCAAGCCACCTGTCTGATGGCAGCCAGTGTTGGATTAAACTAGACTGAGGGCAAAACAACACAACAGCTCTATACACAACCAATTATTTGCTTAAATTTCAGCCTAGGTTGCATTGGGCACACGGTGAAATGGATCATCTGAAAAGTTTGTTGTGAGTACAACCATAACTGGCATGCTGCTGTTCAGTCTACATTTGCAAATTGTTCTCAGTCATAACCAATTGGGTAAAGCATCTGGCAGTTTTACAGTTGTTGTTTGGGTGGGGCTGTAGGGAGGGGAGGAGGTTGTACTCAAGAGACAGCTGAGCATACAGGCCTTGACAGTGCGATCCCATGCAGAAGTAGCCCAGTCTAAACCCACTGATTTCAATCAGTTTAGACTGAAGTAAATCTGCATAGGATTACACAATCAGTCCAGTAGAAATCAGCCTCCCTGAGCCTGCTTCAGTGGGGAGGGTGGGGTATAAATCAAACAAATCAAATCAAATTAGAAAACAGAAGTCTGAATTTAAACTGAATCCAAGTCCTCCAGTTGTTCTTAATGCTGCAATTGTGCTCGGGGATAAGCCCTAAGAATATCAGTGGCACTTAATTCTGTGGAAACATGCTTAAAATCATACTCAAAAGCCATAGCTGTCAATTACACTCTTAGATTTTGTTGACTAGAAAATAACCACACTTACCAAGTACTCTCAGGAAGAAAGTTTTGTTCTCATTTTGAGAAAGAAATTGATACATCCCTTCATCACTTTGTGTTATGTTTTCCAAATCCAGAGACCCATTTCTCAGGCACATCTGCCGTTTACCATATTTGAAACAGTCCTTAGAGTTGACTGAATGGGTCATTCCATTTATGGCTACTGAGAAATAGCTTTGATTTTGAACTTCTAGTGGGAAGACAATTTTGCTGCCAACGATTCCAGTGAGCCGTTCTATGTCAGCACAAGCCCTGCCTGGAACAATCAGAAAGCACAGTAATTATTTTTATGTATCCCACACATCAGCTTTATCACTGGCCCCTTACAAAAGGCACTTGTCCTGCTTCAAAAGAAATTTCTAGGCAAAATGACCTGTATATTGAAAGCCTATGGGATATCTAGGAAAGGGTGACATTACATCCATTAAAAGGTGGCATTATCAAAGAGCTAACACTGTTATCTTTAATATTAAAAGATGAGAAAACTTTATATTAATTGATAAATACATATTTTCACCATGTAGCTCATAACTCCAAAACTGCATTTCATCTGAGTAAAAATCCAAGGCTCTACTAAAATAAAATTGTCCAGGAAAAAAGCACTCGTGGGGGGGGGGCAGCAGGTTACATACTGAGAGCAAAAACCTTCATTCATGAGTTAATCAGTTTATATATCAGATTTAAATTAGATATGCATCTTTTTAAAGAATATTACTTGCTGATCCATTATTACAAACTACCTCAATGTAGCTCTTAATTCTGACAAAGCATTTAATATGTTTGGAAAGGACTACGTAAGTTGAATGTTATGAAATTAAACTACTGTTCTGTTTAAGCAAACACCTGTACTCACTTCAATATATACCTTTGACTGGCTCATTCATAGATCTATAAAAACCAAAAATAGTTTAATGACTTTGTATGGTCCACAGATTTATACTGATAGCCCTGCAAATTAATATAGCAAGAAAGTAATTCCACCTTCCTAACGCTATTAAAAATAAAAAATGGTATATGAATGGGTTTTGTAAACCTAGACAATTTTAGATTCCCTTGCTATAATTCATTATCACTGCTTTCCAAATTGTGTATCGATGCACAAAAGGACCTGAACTATAATCTTCCAAAACATTGGATAGGACCTTAAGACCCACTGGAAACCTATATAACACAGGCACCTGAATGATTTGACAATATTATTCTCTACTGCTCAAAATTATTTGCTCAAGGTCACATCGACAGACAAGAATAGGACCCCAAAATCCGTGTCTTCCGTCCTCCCTTTCCAACCACTATACTGCATGCAGAGCCTCTCAATCCCTCTACTTCTTTTGCTTATACAAATGCAATATATCAAGGGATCTAGTTAAAATTATGAGAAAATCTGTCTTACTTTGGACTGACTGCCTCTTTTCATGCTTTGGCGACTATGACACTAGTATTTTGCCGAGTCCTATAGACTCCTTTTACAAGGAAAAAAATCTGAACAAAATAATGGCTTTTGCTCACCTAGGCAAAGCAATGCCAGCTTTATAAAGAAAACCTTCCCACTTACCATCAATAATGGTCAGAATCACCAGCATGCATGGCAAGAGAAAAGAAGAACTGAAATCCATTTTAAACCTCTTCTTTCATCGTGTGTGTTAAGAAGAAGACCTGGCTATGCTGTTAAACCAATGTACTTCTCAGGAAATGATGTCAGAAGCAGGAACAAAAAAAGAAAAGAAGAAGAAAAACTCATGCTGGAGGGATGTACGACTAATGTATCTAAACAAAGCAGAAGAGTGTTTGGTTGACTGGTTTTGTGCTGTAGCCACAGCATCCTGATGATCTCTCACTATGGTCTTGTACAGAGGAATCAGGGTGTATAAAACTCAGGAGAGGTGCTGAAAGAGAGACCTGAGCACGACTGTTCCAACCCTAGCTAGGAAGAGTCCCAAGCAAATCCTGACATTATTCCCTCATTCTTGCACTCATCAGTATAATGTGAAGTATGACATGAAAGATAGAGGTCCCAGTTCTGCTAAAGTTAGCCATGACTTAAGTGCACTGGCTTGTACCTAAAGATTCCCTTGTGCTAAGTCAAGAGTCTTCCTCCAACAGACAAAGCCATCTTCTGATGAAGGAAGGCTTGGCAGATGGAAGTCATTGGCTCCAACCAATTGAAAACAGTGACAACAAACCTGTTCAATTAATTTAAGTTCTGTTGTGTTTAAAGGGAATGGATCAAGACTAACATAAACTGAATCAATACCCAGCCCTCCCCAACTAGTGCTCTGTGGGGTAAATCTCTGTGCATATTATACTATACAGAATTTATATATTTTGTGCAGCGATGAGAGCTGAACAAATTCTGTATCTATAGGAACAGAGCATACTCAGATGGAATGGCATCCTTTTACTGATACAGATTGTTATCTGGACCATAAATGAAATGTGTCATCTGTGAATTGCCAAAATTAATCATAATTAATTGAATGAGTTGATATGGAAACCTGCTACTAGCTTGCACTTGGTTGTATGTAGCTTTGTGTTCCTGCTGCTGCTGCTGCTGTAATTAGCAATTATTAAACATTGAAGCACCATCAAGATATATGCTAGATACTACTGAAGAACACAGAACCTGTGCTCCCGAAGGAGATGTTATTGAAGATTACATGTATTTTTGCTATTATATCACATAATCTAATGCCTTGCTCTCCTTCCCTCTGCTCCATGCCCATCGTTAGATTGTTCCTGTCTTGGAACAGAAACCCGTTCTTGTCTTCTCAGACTAATCTGCTCATGATGTAAAATTACAGGGGGGTAGTAGAAACAAAGAGGGAATGGAGGTTTAAATGACAAGGTAGCTATATCCAGCACTGGTGAATTCTAGAGCACTAAATGCAGACGATGATTACCAAAGCATGTGCAGGACAGGACAGAGGATCATTCTAATAATCTGCATGTCATTGCAGGTTAGATCATGCTCTTGAATTTTAAATACTCTGCTCTTGACCCTTTTTCTTTGCTTTAAACTGCACACACTTTTAGGTCCTCCCCCATGCTGCTCCCAGAGCCTGTGCACCCTTCTTCTCGTTCAGTCCTCTCCTCAGAACCTGCTTGCTCTCTAACTAAGCTTTTCAAAACCTCCATAAATGTACCGTTATCGTACTTCTGGCTGAAAGCTAACTCTGTTGTCCCCTGTTATTGCAACTGTTTCATTAAGCCCTAATATGTGATTTGATTTTTTTAATTGTTTTTCTACCTGAGAAGTGGCTCACAGGAAAATACAAAAATCATCTCTCTTTCTTAAGCCGTGAGTCCTCTGGGTAAGGATCATATTACTTCTGTATATCTACACACTTCCCTGACCTGGATAGCCTAGGCTAGCCCTATCTTCTCAAATCTTGGAAGCTAAGCAGGGTTGGCCCTGCTTAGTATTTGGATGGGAGACCACCAAGGAATACCAGGGTCATGATATGGAGGCAGGCAATGGCAAACTACCTCTGAACATTTCTTGCCTTGAAGGTGGGGTTTCGGTGAGCTAATGGTGGCTGTGTCTCCTGGGATCTCCCAGGGATGCGGCTTGCAAACCAGCAGTTAGAGAGGGGGTGCGAGTGTTCGCACCCCCTGGGGGCCCTTGTGAAGGGTCTCCAGTCATGGAGCACTGAGGCTCGCCTCTTTCCCAGCACGCTGTCGGAAAATTGAGGCGTCCCTTTGCTCCGATGGTCTCTCTGCTGTGTTCCGGCAAGGACTAAGCTATGCACACCCCATCAAGCGAGTGGGGGTTGAGCAGCAAATAAGCATATTTGTTGGCAAGATCTACTTGATCTACATATGAAGAGTGAGTAAAGTTGAAATGAAACAACAAAGCAAAAGCCCCCCAGGGAAGGGGGAGAGGGGACTCTCCTCCACTAAGAACTATTTATAAGTGTTATGGAGCTAGAAGAAAGGGGGGCCATGTTTAAAAGCGGCAATGGACTGTACGGAGAGATTCCAGGAGGCAGTTAAGCATTGAAGCAACTTTTCGGGACTTTGGCAAACTTTGTAAAAGTAAACATCCTTTAAAATGGTGAGATGATTGATCACTCTCAATGTTAAAGAAAGCTTTTTACTATTGTTAAGCAAATTTTTCACAAGCTGTATGTGACCTCCAACCCTTGGGTTTTAGTGGGGTTTCTTTTCTTTCTCCTATAGTGTGTAGATTCCCTCCCCAATGTCATTGTAGTTTTTAGTAAATGCAAATAAAAAATCCTTTACGGGGGGCCATAAAAAACCAAAAACATTTCTTGCCTTGAAAACCTTATGGGGTCACCATAAGTCACTTTCCACCACCATGCCTGCACACTACTAAAGAAATGCACAGTAGTAGCAGCAGTGATGGTAATGAGCTTCACATCCAAATGGATCAGGGCTTGCATCCCATGAGATCTGTAAGCAGAGCAACACTCATGAAATGAGACTTTTCTGCCTCCTCCTCCTCCTGGTGCAGCCCACTGAGGACTCAAGGATGTTGTTCCTGAGAATCAATGAACCCTCATGAACAGGGCAGGAGTCAAAACTGGGGTCTGAAGTGGGAAAGAGAATACCCAGAAATCACCTCCCTCTCAGTGATAAGAGACATGCTTTTCCATCCTCGGAAGAGACCATAGGCAACAAGCCACTATTTACACCGTCCCTGTTCTCTACTATTTCTATAAGGCTATAAGTTTATGTAACATAGATACAGTACTCTGTCTTATACTGAGTGAGACCCTTGCTCTATCAAGTTCATTATTGTCTACTCTGACTGGCAATGGCTCTCCAGGGTCTCCGTTTGATGTCTTTCCCATTACCTGCTAGCGATTCAACGTTGGACCTTCCATATGCAAAGCAGATGCTCTACCACTGAGCCACGGCCATTTGCCAAACATTATAGCATACGAGCTATATGAATAAAAGCAGTTGTACTCATCTTATAGCAGCTCAGGTCTCTAAAATGTAACTGAGGTTCATGGACATAGAATGTTAATGCGTGTAGAGGCCGTGGTAGATCTTGTACCTATTTTGCTGATGTTTCTCACGTGGCATGTCTGCCTCATTCCACTGGACCAGGATGGGTAGCCCATGTTTCTTTATTTGCAGCATTTCTTGTTTGCCTTTCCCCCCCCCACCAAAAAAAGGCAGGTCACCAGTGCAAGAGGTATCTTACATGTTATTTTACTCATCGGAATTGCAAGTATCAAGCTGACAGCCTGCAAGTTAATGAGCAGCCACCCACCCAAACCTATCTATAACCTGTGTTAATGGCTGAAGGTCAGGACAGCTCTATTTTGTCTCTAACATGCACACACACACCGGGCGGGGAAAATCCTCCCCATGATCTAAGAGGCGACAAAAATAGCCTTCTGTGAGAAAGGCAGTGATCTGAATCGCCAGACATCTGCAGACCAGTGGAGAGTGAAAAAATATATTTGCAATTAGAAAGTCACCCATGGGTGCACTTGTCCTCTATGTTTTAGACTAGGTGCCGAGTAACTGCAACCACTACATGTGCTAATGGGCTGTTTTCTCCCATCCTACACAGATGTAGAAGAACAAAATCTTGACATTCTATGTCGTATATTGACATTCTGGAAGAATAGGGATGGGAAGAATTAGTTTTCTCTTAATCAGACTGAAGGTACCAATTTGCTATGGCCAGTTTCCAGATGATCAACCAATATGTGCCACTTCCATGTAAGCCCCTAGCACTCAAAGTCTGTAAGACCTACTGCTATTTCCTTCAGTACTGAATAGTACGTTCATTTATGTGCATGTATTGCATGGAACCAAAAAGAATGCAGAGGAGTGGAAAGTCATAGAGTTGCACAACACAAATCAGCAGTGGATAATTCACACATTTGTACAATTCTATGACCAGAATCAAGTAATTCAGAAACATTAAATCTGGAGAATAATTTGGAAGATGAGGTGCCCCATTAGGATTCCTGAGAGAAATGCAAGTAGCAGAACAGGCAAATGGACAGCATACTACTGTTTCTTACACTGTTGCCATTGTTTCAAATAATAATTTCTAATGTTAGTCAAGGGGGGGAAAGGGTAAACACATGGATACTATGTATTTAATTAGTTAATACTAGGGGCACATAAATTCCAGGAGACTAATGAGGAATAAATTTGTTGCTTTTTACATCCTTAGTTATTCCTGGTTGTTTTCTAAACTCTCATTTGTCTCTTCTATGTATGATTTCTTTTTAAGCGTCCAAAGTTTCATGTGAGTATCAGAGCTTCTGAATAACCCAGGGCAAAACAAAATAAAATATAAACAAAAGTAAGATTTATTTGAAAAAAATTGAAATTAATCCAGACATATAAGAAGTTTTTAAAAACTTTCTATGAATACACAGGCAGTTTAAAACCTTAACAATTCCATTAACATTACAAGGCATATTATCTGGAAAACTACTTGAAAGCTAGTAAGTATAATTCTCCACCAGATTAGCAAAAAGACACCAAGTGGATTTAAGAGGGAAACCTTTACAATTGATACTAATAACTATATTTCAGGAACCATGTTAAAATTAACTCAACTTTTTGACCTGATAAAAGTTTGGCAGGCTACAGGGTTATTTATACAATCAAGAGGCCTGTAGGTTTGCTATACCAT